AGAAGAGAAAACAAAGGGGAGTTCAAGTCAACAGAAATATCTTAGAACATCACTGACTTCCTGTCCCAGTCGAAACCTTGAATCTGACGTATTTTGCTTCCAAGACTCGGGGAGCCCCGTGTTATGCAAATCGACTGCGCAAAATGCCATTGAGAACTTTCCTATCCATCTATATTGTCATTTTGCAAGAATGCTTAATCTTTTATATCCCTACTGCATAGACTCCTATTCTTAAAGCGAGCGATGTCGATTATGAAGCTGTACATTTTATAGAACTGACGGCCAGTGTCACTAATCGACCATTATTTAATAGCTGACGTACGGTTTTTAATATTCTTACACTCAGTGCTTATTCCTTGTCATACGGGTTTTTCCAAAGCCTGTCACAGCTTCACTCAATATGATTTACATAGTTCGAGTGTTCTCCCGCACACAACTCCATCGATGTTCCTTTAGCCGAGCATCAACCCTCTCTTTCGAGATTCTGAAGGTTGAAAATGGCAATTTTGATTTCATTCGGTACGTAACGATTCTATTCGAATCCGCCGGCTACTGCTTGACCCCTTTAATTACAGTGTTCGTACTCTAAAACATGTTGTGCAATCACTATTCACTTGCTGAATTATTGTATACAATGTTGATCTATTCTGCTTACTGAAAATTTGCAACTTTATGACCCTATTGGGCAATAATAAACGAAACAATTAGTACTAAAGGTATTCTTATCTGCTTATTAAAAACTGTAGTTGCTAACGTTTCGTTATCAAAGTTCAGCATGACTAAAGAATTCAGAGCGTATAATACAAAAGAAAGTGAAGACAAAAAACCGAATCAGCAAAGGCAAAGGATGACTCCTCTGACGCAGTAGAGAAAACCAAAGCGAAAAATTTCGCTGCACTTTTCAAATTTCATCAAGTGAGTTTCCGCGTTTCCATGGTCAGCAGATTTTTAACGGTTATAACTGCTAAAATGAGCATGATGCCTGATAAGTATCAGTTAAATGAGAAACAGTAACTGTGCTCTAAATGCAATCTAAATACAGAAGATTTAGAGGCAAAACTTCTCTCTGAATTCTAATATCTCTTGAGAAACGGATCTTCTGGTTCTAGCTTGAAAGCTCACAAATAGTATTCAAAAAAATTAATGAATTAGAACCATTTGGAAAATGTCATCCTAGCGCTTTCAACGCCGGTAATACAGCGAAGCTTTTGACATTTGAATTTAACTGTATTATGGTAGCGAACCACCCCTCCCAACCACATCGATCTTTACCGAGCAATATGCAGTAACGCTGAAGGTTGCCACTGTAGTCCTAAGCGTCTATATGATTATTTTCCGAGGAGAGAAGCTCTAAAACTGGCTTTTGCCCGAATAACTCACATATTAAAGCAAAACGGGAAATCGAAAAGGTTGAAATAGCGCCGGATGACACTTGATCTTGGAGCTCATTTTGAGTCAACTATTAGATGAATCAAAGCGAGCTGCAGTCAAAAAAAACGCTCCAAAAACATGGTTTGACCATATGTTTTGCTGTAGGACCAAAATTGTATGCTTTCCTGTTCCTACTCTCCACAGATCGCTGATATGCTATCTGTTTCTAGGTTGATCGCAACCAAACAAAGTGGGGTTAATTCCTCGTCTATAGGAATTAGCAGGGAATGAAAGAAAATTTACGTATGCCTACGTACAGTTTTAACCCGACGCCTCTAAGGTGCAAAGTAAACCACACATGAACTGAACCACTTCTCCAATAACTCGGTATGCGAACAACTCCGATATAGAATTACATTCGTGGTTCGTCGCCGAAGTTAACTGGGAAAGGAAAACATTCACCATTTCATTAGTTCAACAAGCGTCTGTTGGTAGAAGCACTGAAACAAGATATGCAAGAGGTTTTTCTCAAAACCTAACCCACCGAAGAGTTTAAGACAACATTTTTAGATAATAAAACGCAGCGCAGCTGGCGAGACGTCGAAGTACAAAGAACGTGTTTTCAGCGTAAAGCCCGATTTAATATTGGTGTTCGGAAGCTCTGATTTGCACCTGCTGCATCGAATACTTCACGAAAAAGCAATACGAAAATAATACCTTAAACTTCATGTCTCTAGCCGTCTACCGAAACCGAATGAAAGCAGAAACGATAAAAATTTAGAGAATACTCGCGATGTCGACGTACCTTTCAACGACTTCATCATCAGTCCTCGAACCCTCTTTGGCTTTTCCGATATTCGGATCGACCTGTGGTTCTACGTTTTCGGCCGTTTTCGGGGGCACATCTTCACTACTCAACGCCAAACCGAAAATCAAAAGGAGAATGGTTCCAAAGAACGCTCGACCCTTCATCACCGGCCACACGGGCAAACAAGAACTACGCTGTACGTAACGGCACTTAGCACAACGAGTTGGCTCGATGTCACTAATTCACTTGTCACACGTTTATTGGCTGCGCAAGGGCTGAAGAGATATGTCACACTATTTAGCCAATCAACGTTTATCATAAACGACGTGTTATTGTTTTATTGGCTGGTTTAAACAACATCATCAGCCCAGGATTAGTTTTGTGTTATTTCAATAATCAAGTTTAGTATATCAGTTGATTCTAAAATACTGCAGCTGTACTGAAATCTCGGCACCTTCGATACATACAGGACTTCTAGAATTTTTATATTACTTTACAATATTTATTTGCTGTTTGCACCTTGCGCTGATTTGCAGTTATTTACCAGATAAGCAGAGTCGAACTGCGACTGTAACTCCACAAACAAAGAAACATCAGACCGCATGTCCGTGGGTCGTACGCTATGGCGAGATGCTGCTCGTCCTTGTCATTTCCGACGTCGAAAAAGCAACAGTCAGTTTTTGGCTGATTGAATTAAAATGGTACAAAATGAATTCCTTGCCAGTAACCTGTCAAGAACAATTTTTACATTCCTGAGTGAAACTTGACATTCTGAATAGTAAAATTGAACAGCAATTCACTGCGCAGCAGTTTTTGTCCGTTTTTTCTATAAAATATCAGTTCTAGGCTAAACATGGAAATTGCGATTGAATGCGGTCTCCAAATATAACAATTAACACAAATATTAATTAAGTCATTTTCAAAGCCTACTCTTCTTATGGGGATGCGGAGGCAATAGCTTCAGGAGAGTTTCGCAATGGTATCTACGCGTCATGAATAAGCAAACTAAATTTGCTGATTTGCGACAGAGCCAGTACATAATATACAAATAATCGAGTTTCTTTTTGACAATGTCTTATATAACGCTTTTCGTAGAGATTTTATCTTGTGAACTTCTCTTCATACATTCTCGCCGGGTGCTAAAACCGTCACGATTATCATTTTCCTATTTGATAATTGCACGACTCACAAGTGCTGGAGTTATCGGTTGCAGCATTTTGAAATTAGTATGATTCTAAAATAATCTAAAGATGTCATTTTTTCATATTACATATACTGGTGTGTCTTAACTTCTGCCTATCTTGTGCGCCCCTGGTTTCGGAAAGAGGACTAGCCTCAATACATGGAGGTCAGCTGCGAAGAGTGAACAGTTGCTGAAAAACAACGGTGATACCATCGGGTCGTGGCTTGGTGCAAACTCAACTGGTTCATTTTTATAAAGAATGTCTCAATGGTTAATTCCAGTCCTATGACTAGGCGAAAGTGACCAACCTCTTTCGATTAGTATGGTCTCCAATGTCAGATCTACCTTACTCGTTGGACTGCGGTTCCTAAAACGCTAGAAGCAAAAACTGATATATTGGAAGGTTTGTACGTCAAAATTCCTCCAGGCCACTGTCAGGCCTACCAGCAGGTGGTAGAACTTCGCAAGCCATGAAAACGCCAGCTAGTGCGACAAGTGCAATTGTTCGCCAAATAC